TTACAGGTACCAAAAACTCCCTGGTGATACAGGTACTAACACTACCCTGGTGTTACAGGTACTAACACTACCCGGGTGTTACAGGTACTAACACTACCCTGGTGTTACAGAAATTTAACACACTGGTTTTCAGGTCCTAACCCCACCCTGGTGTTACAGGTACTAACACTACCCGGAACATATAACCCTCCTGGTGTTAACAGGTACAAACACTACCCTGGTTTACAGGTACTAAACATACCCCAGTTTGGTGTTACAGGTACTAACACCCCCCTGGGGTTACAGGTACTAACACTACCCTGGTGTTACAGGTACTAACACTACCCTGGTGTTACAGGTACTTAACACTACCCTGGTTTTTTACAAGGTTCTTACACTACCCTGGTGTTACGGGTACTAACACTACCCTGGTTTTAAACAGGTACTAACACTTACCTGGGTTACAGGTACTAACACTACCCTGGTGTTAAGGTACTAACACTACCCTGGTTTTTAAGGTACTAACACACCCGGGTGTTACAGGTACTAACACTACCTGGTGTTAAGGTACTAACACCCCACCTGGTGTTACAGGTACTAAACACTACCCTGGTGTTACAGTACTAACACTACCCTGGTGTTACAGGTACTAACACTACCCTGGTGTTACAGGTACTAACCACTACCCTGGTGTTTACAGGTACTACCACAAACACTGTTTAAAGTACTAACACTCCCCTTTGGTGTTACAGGTAATAACACTACCCTGGTGTTACGGGTACTAACACTACCCTGGTGTTTCAGGTACTAACACTCCCCTGGTGTTACAGGTAAACACTCCCCTGTGTTCAGTACTAACAACCTGGTGTTTCAGGTACAAAACACTCCCCCTGTTTGGTTACTAAAGTACTATAATTTCCCTGGTGTTACAGGTAATAACACTACCCGGGTGTTACAGGTACTCACTACCCTGGTTTACAGGTACTACACTTCCCTGGTGTTACAGGTACGGCCTACCCTGGGTTACAGTACTAACCTCCTGTGTTACAGGTACTCACTACCCGGGTTTGTTACAGGTCTAACATTTACCCTGGTGTACGGGTACTGGCACTACCCTGGTGTTAAGGTACTAAAAACTACCCTGGTGTTACGGGTACTACCACTACCTGGTGTTACGGGTACTAACATTACCCTGGTGTTACAGGTAACTCACACCCTGGTGTTCAGGTACTCACTACCCTGGTGTCTAAGTACGGTACTACACTACCCTGGTGTTACAGGTACTACACTACCCGGTGTTCCCAGGTACTAACATACCCTGGTTTTTACAGGTACTGATTACCCTGGGTGTTACAGGTTACCCTAAAAACGATCCCCTGGTGTTACAGGTACTAACACTACCCTGGTGTTACAGGTACTACACTACCACTGGTGTTACAGGTACTAAACACTACCCTGGTGTTACAGGAAACTAACACTACCTGGTGTTACAGGTACTATACCATACCCTGGTGTTACAGGTACAAACAATACCCTGGTGTTACAGGTACTAACAACTAAAACCCTGGTGTTACAGGTACTAACACTACCCGGGTGTTACAGGTACTAACACTACCCTGGTGTTTACAGGACTAACACACTACCCTGGTGTTACAGGTACAAACACTACCCTGGTGTTACAGGTTACAACACTCCCCTGGTGTTCAGGTACTAACACTACCCTGGTGTTCAGGTACCTAACACTTACCCTGGTGTTAAGGTACTAACATACCCTTTGGTGTTACAGTACTAACACTACCCTGGTGTTACAGGTACAAAACACAAACCTGGTGTTACAGGTACTCATATGTCTCAACACTACCCTGGTTGTTACAGGTACTAACACTACCCTGGGTTTTTCAGGTACTTAAACACTACCCTGGTGTTACAGGTACTAACACCACCCTGGTGTTACAGGTAACTAACGACTACCTGGTGTTTACAGGTAAATAAACTATCCCTGGTTTACGGTTTCTATCACTACCCTGGTGTTACAGGTCCCTAACACTACCCTGGGTTACAGGTACTAAACACCCGGGTGTTACAAATAACACTACCCTGTTTTACGGGTACTAACACTACCCTGTGTGTTACAGGTACTAACACACCCCTGGTGTTACAGGTACTAACACTACCCTGGTGTTACGGGTTTACTAACACACCCTGGTGTTACCAGTACTAACACTACCCTGGGGGTTACAGGTACTAACACTACCCTGGTGTTACAGGTACTAACACACCCGGGTTTTACAGGTACTAACACTCCCTGGTGTTACAGGTACTAACACTACCCTGGTGTTACAGGTCCCTAACACTACCCTGGTGTTACAGGTACTAACACTACCCTGGTGTTAAGTACTAACACTCCCCTTGGTTTTTACAGGTACTAACACTACCCGGGTGTTACAGGTACTAAACATACCCTGGTGGTTACAGGTACTAACCTACCCTGGTGTTAAAGGTACTAACACTACCCTGGTTT